CGGTAAACCTTGATGCGGTGAAATGAAAAGCAATTCAAAACAGCAAAACAAAAAAAAAAGGAGGAGAGCGAATATAGCTATTAATTGGCAGAAATCAATTTACTGAGGTATATTGAGCTCAAAAATTATAGATTTGAACTAATGCACCGCAGAAGTGGATGAATTTGAAATTTATTTTACCTCATGATCAGATAACATTTTGAAACATGTCGAATCCAAAAAGCTTACATATATTTGCACAGTTTAAAGCGTGATAGCGGTATCTGGCAAAAGCAATAAAAATATGATTAGGACTTTCTCTCTATTCTGCTAAATAGAGGTAATATTCCATAAGTTATTGTCTTATATTCATTAAACTTGTTTGAATTTCGTGTTTTTATCAATTACAACGTAGATGGAGTCAAATTTCAAAAAGAGATCTGCATAGCATTTAATTTTTTTAATTTCTCTCTTTTTTTTTAATTCAGATCTAAAGCTGCACTAGTAACTTTCAAACATTTTAAAATATCTTTCGTTCTTATGGTTCATTTTAAACAAAAAACTTCTTTGGATTAGATTTGTTGCAGATAAGAAGCCGAGCTGAAGATTCTCTTAAAGCCAAATTATAGCAAAAAAGAAAAGAAATAAAAAAAAATTAAATCAAAAGAAAAGAAACAAAACGAAAAAAAAGGAGGAAATATGAACGATGATGTAATAATCGTACAGTTTTATTGGATTGCACCTTTAGGTGGCTCCATTTTTGGTGGTACATGAAATTTACTAAATTATACATACATTTTCTCTTTTTCCGTAGTTTTCTAATTTTACAAATTAAATGCAAGTAAAATCTTGGTAGGAGGTAAAAACTGGTTTATAAGCCACCGAAGGAAACTAATGCCCTGACCACGACTTCTCTGATATAAAAATCAACAATCGGTAAAATGGACCATATCGCCTTCCATGAACAAAAAAATGAGAAGCCTAGAAAACTTGGTCTCAAACTTCTTTTTCTTTTCAGCAAGGGCTTGTGTCAAACTTTTTCCCGAAGCCTTAACTTTTATAACTCACATTATTCTCGCTAACTCTCTCAAAACTGCGCGAAGCGTTAGAAAAATAAATGCCTTTTCCAGTGATGCCAGTCGAGCGTATTGTTAAAGCACAAGGAAGAAGCCTTTAGTCAGCGGAAATGTTTCTTTGGTAAGTGAATAATTTTGTTTCTCTTTATTTACAGTGTTCTTTTCCTTCAAGTCTGTACTGGGCATTTTTCAGTGCAGTATTGGTCTTGGCGACAAGAGCCTTGCGAGATCTCCTATCAATGTATTAGCTGTTTTGAACTGTACGCTAAACGGTCGCTCTGCAAACGTCTTTAAGTGGACACTTGATGGGAAACAAGTCAAGGAGGAGCACACACTGCAGGATCCAAAGGAAAATAAGAAATGGTCCGCTGTTGTTCTCAAAAATATGACCAAAGACATAGAGACATATAAATGCAAAGCGGAACGTGGCAAGGAAAACGCTTCGTGTTCCGTTTCTCCTGGTAAGACATTGTGTTCTAAGCAATTAAAGTTGTAGATAATTCCTCTTTATTTATGACTGCTCAATAGTTTCATATTCGATCTTGAATGCACATCCGGAATGGAGGCGCAACATGACACCGAAATATAAAGTTTCTTTAATTTGTTTGGAAATGAAGGGAGGAAGGTTTCCTGTATAAGGACGTGCAAAGTGCAAATTTTTTTCCTCCTCATACAAAATTCAGCTGAACAAGTATGTTCTTGTCTTGAATGGATTCGATACAATCTACCAAAAGATTACGCGGCTTCTGATAGAAGCAAAACCCTTTCTACCATATTTGGCGGCTGGAAATTGAAAGAGGCTTCAAAATGCTCGGGAAAAGCATTTCACACTTTAGATAATGTTTTAAAATTACAAAAAAAAAAATTCATTAAGCCCCGTTGCATGCATGATTTTTGAGAGGCGTAAAGAACAAAGGTGTAATTTTCAAATAATTTTACAAAGGGAGACAAGTGTAATGCAACTGAAAATGCGGTATCCTAGTCTCCGAACAATTTCGTTCGTCAAACTGCGCTTGCGGCACTTACCTTAACTTCCCTGTTATTTAATCACCTCTCATTTTTGCGTACTAAAATGATAGAGAAAAAAATTAATTTATACTTTCATTTGTAAATTTGTCAAATCGTTTGAAAAGCTCCTACAAAATTGGTTCGTAATCGAAACAGCGTTGGTTACTTCGCTGGTAAAAAGAAATAGGAAGTGTAGAACCAGAAATAAGCGTCAAATACATTCCAGTTTCAGACATTTTCTTGAACAATCAGAAGAATTGAAAAGTATAGCACGCAAAATAAAATAGGACTTTCGTTTGGTTTTATGCTGAACTTTTTCTTACAGGCTTAAGAGACGCTTTAGTAAAGCTCTCAAGTTATAGCAGCTTTGACAAATGGCTTTTAAAGGGCCATAGTCAGTTGTACAGTTTGCTCCCACCGGTTTCTTCGACCGTGACTAAGAAAGGCGCCTTTAGCGAATTTTCTATTGAACGTTATTTGATACGAGTGAGGTGTGGGCGAGGTCACCGGAAAAAATGTTTCGCAGAAATTTTTTAGATGGCAGTACCTAACAGGAATGTGTCAGAAACCTGACTGTATAAGCGATTCAAAAGATATGGTCACAAAAACTTTTCACAGAAGCTTTTTTTTGTGTCACCCCCAAGCGTGTGCAAAATTCATTTGTTCATTCGATCATTTATCTTTCATCTGTCTATCTATGCATTCTTTCATTCATCCAGTCATTCATTTATCCATTCATCCATCCATCCATTCATCCATTCATCCATTCATCCATTCATCCATTCATCCATTCATCCATTCATCCATTCATCCATTCATCCATTCCTCAATTCGTCCATTCATCCATTCATCTATTCACCCATTCATCCATTCATTCATTTCTCCATTCGTCCATTCTTCCATACGCCCACTCATCAACTCATCCAGTCATCCAGTCATCCAGTAATCCATTAATCCATCCACTTATCTACTCATCCACCCTTCCACTCATGATTCATTTATATTCATTCATTTATTATCCATCAACGCATTCATTCTTCCGTTCGTTCGTCCATTTATCCACCTCTTCATTTTCTCTTTTTTTTTTTCTTTTAGTTTGCTATTTCCTTCTTTTTTTTTTTTTTTTTCGCATCTTGCTTCTTTTCTTCAGCTTTATTTTGGATTTTTTTTAAATGATTCTTTTAGTCGTTCAGGTCGTGCTTTGGCAGAAAAATTCATTATCACTAAGCCTTTACCCACTAAAGCACATAGACACATACAGTGCAGGCTGCAGGAATAACAGCACCTACACGCACGTGAAATGCGTGCAAGATGGCGAATTTACACGCAAGTTACGCGCGCGTAAAATTTTACAAGTAAGCCAAAATATGTGCTGAGAAAGCGGGTCGCTTTCCTCGTGTGCTCTTACCAATTTTATAAAATGTTCTACCCCACAGCTAAGCCAAAAGCACAAACGTCTGATTCGGCTGTCAGAATAGTCGACCTTGGAAATACACCTGAATTAGAATGCAGGGCTTATGGATGGCCAGTTCCTCGTGTGTCCTGGTGGCTAAATGGTTCCCAGATTCACCATCTTGACGCCCAGAACACGTACTTATTACATCAACAAGCAGTGAACGTATTGTCTATGAAAATACTCATCGTGCGAGAGGAACATCAGCATTCGAAATTCACTTGCCGTGCTGATAACGTGTTTGGTACGTCTGAGAGGAGCGTAGAAATCCAAGTGAGACGTGAGTAAATGACGATTTTTCTATATAAAAAGTTTTCGTTATCTTCTTGAAAAAATTGTGATCGTAATATTTCTAAATTAGTTCTTTGATGGTAAGAGGAAACAAAAAACAACAAGAAAAGTTATCTGTTTCACGGCACTAACCTTAGTGTGGAGAAATGAGAGCATATTACGTTTAAATGAGCGAAGCGGAGGATCAAAACTCCATGGGATTTCTCAATGTACAGTGATTGGGATCTTTAATTCCACTATTTAAGCAGGAAGAGAAGGAATAAAACTGATTTAACATACTTTAATCTTTTTTTTTATCTATAAGGAATTGATATGATCGACTACGGCTATCGTGAAAAGTTTCCCATTCCAGCAGTGATAGGAACAAGTGCTACTCTTGAGTGCATCTGTACGGAGAAAAACTGTACAGAAGATACCACTCAGTTTTATTGGAAACGCAATGGAACGATAGTCAGCGAAACACCAAATATCAGATTATCCCGTGAGGTCTTACGTAGTGGTTTAAAAATTGCTTTGACGATACTCAACGTGTCAAAGGCAGACGAAGGAGATTTTTTCTGCAGAGTAAGCAACTCCATAGGATTTGAAGAGAGGCGAAGAACCCTGCAGATTCTAGCCAGAGGTTGGTTTTAATCAGAATACTGTTTATTCATGAGCATCTTTTCCGTGATGAATCATGAGTTTTGAATGGCTACGGGTCGCTTGTGGTGTATCATTAAAAAACACTACTTCAAAAAGTTAGAAAAATCTACTTCTAACCTGAATTTCAAGTCTTTGAACAAGGGAACGGAGAGATGGGCAGACACCGACAGACAGGCATACAAACACAAACACAAACACAAACACAAACACAAACACAAACACAAACACAAACAAGCAGGCCGCGGACAAAACAAAAAACTTGAGCGATAAATTCTTTTCTGTCTGCTAAAATTCCCAGCGATCTGCAAGGGCCATTTCTTTGCTTGATTTTCATGTGCAGGTCAAATGAAATTTATTTCATTACGAGTTGTTATCAAATTCCTCTATGGGAAAGAAGAACTCTCTAAAATCTGCCTTTCTCCCAGGCGACATCTGGCTTCGTAACTCAAATAGTAGGGAGTTTAAGAAAGCACGACGGCAAAGGTATAACGTGCACATGCGTTATAAATCTCTGCAAATTTCTTTTCGTCCCCTGCAAAACAACAACGGTAAATGACCAAACTTTGCGTTGTCTGGAGAACGTGAACGACGACGGCTAAGTTTTTGAAATGCTTAATTCTAATTCAATGCCGAGTTCCATATTCAGTTTCGAGATGGTTTGAAAGAGAGAAAAAAAACTAAATTACTCAGTTTAGAGTAACTTTTTATTCGTAGGTAAAATATAAGTTCCTTTTTTAACCGACTTTGTCCACGGCGTCGCCGTCTTCGGTTCTTAAACTCCCTGGTATCTGGGAGGTATGGGTTCGAGTCTTGTCGAAGCTTGAATTTTTCCAGGCTTCTTTTCGGTAATTTCTGAAATTGCAGTCTAACTATAAGAATTGTTTCTTTGCTTGTGAAGAGAAAAAGATAGAAAAACAACGAACATAACAAGAAAAAAAGGTATATACTTAGGCTGGAGGTTTCTACGGGACTTGGCACGTGACCTCAAGGTCAGGACGCTCTATCTGATTATGACCATATTTTGAGGAGACATGCTGAGGTAACCTCTCAGTTTTTGATCGCACACGTGAGTGAGACAGGGGTAGAATAGGATGACAGCAAAAACCACGATCTAAAAGCTTCTCTCCCATGTCTTCGTCGATAAATAACTCACTCCTCGTTATCATTTTAATTTGCGTTTGGTAATGTTCAATATGATGTAATTAGAGCGTGGCCATTGATCACTTTTAGAAGAAAAAAGGGTGAAATGTTTCTCATAATAAGCTATACTTATTTTATCTCATCTTTTCAGAGGATTTTCAGATCTCAGCAAATCCAACTGAAGCGTTTGTAAATTAGGGATCTCCTGCACGTCTGACATGCAAAGTTTCATATCCAGCTGAGTTACTGGAGCCGGACACTTATTGGATCTTTAACAACACTAGGATTCACGAAAAGTCTGCATTGCAATACTACCCTAAATCATATGGCCCTCGAGAAGGAGCCAACTCAACAGAGATGGTTTTGTTTCAGCTTCAGATGTCTAATGTAAGCGATCAATTCGTTGGGTGGTATACCTGTGCTGCAGATTTCAAAATAATTCTTGTCAAAGCAAGAGTTTTTGTCACCCTCGAAGGAGAAGAAGGCGATGGTATGTTTCAAGCACAATATATTTCTTCATAAATGTGGCATTTTATTCATCATCCGCAGTCTTATTTCATGTTTTTTGCTCTTGCCCGACGCAATTCTCTTGCAAAGTTTTCCTACTTTCATTTAACTTTCAGATAATTAACTGATGCTGTGAATTAAATAATAGCCAGTACATTAAAAATTTTTCATTCGAAATATTTGGTACAGGTAAATTTTAAAAAGTGGATAAATAGCTAGAAAATCTGTCGAGAATAATACAGGAATATCAAACAAAACTGAGACAATGAAAAGACATAGTGTCAATTTAGTTTAATTTAAGTCGGCTCTTGTTTGTGCCTTCAGTGGACACTAAATTTTCTTAGGTGACAATTATTATTGTTCCTTGTGTTTTCATTTGTATGTTCGGTGGTTTGTTTGCTAGTTGATTACTATTCAATTTGGTTCGATCAAGCTGAGCATTTTAAAATCTTCTTAGGACTTAAGAAAAGGGAGACCATAAAATGACTAACCTTTTCTTTTTTCAGATGATGAAGGAATTGCACGCATTGAGTCTGATGAAAGTCCGCTGGTCGCCATCAGCTCCATTACCGCTGGTGGCGTTATAATGGGTTTCATTGCAGCTTTGTTTGCATACAGACTTTGCAGAAAAAAGCGCAGTGATGAAGAACCATTCTTTGGTATATATATATATATATATTTTTTTTTTTATGTACATGATATCACAATCTTTTAATGCGACTCGGAAGTAAAATTAGCGGTAAAGAAAAAAGGAGTCATTTTGAGTGAATAAGTGAGATCAAACAAAGCGTAACGAAGAGGACTGTGAAAGTAATTCTTATGTTTGGATTCTCGAAGATTGCAAACAGCGTTTTCTTTTCGGTGAAGTCTGTTACCTGAGTCCAAAAAAATGTCAGCGAAAAAGAAGAAAAATTGATGCTAGTGAGCCGCGTGGAACTCTGGGAGTGAGGCGCACGGCTGCGAAAGCCCAATTTCGTAAGCCTTACTCCCAAAGCTCCGCGCGACCCGCTAACATCATTTCATTCGTTGATGTTCTTTTGCTAGAGCGACGGACTTCAGCGAATTGGAAGAACTTCTCGTAGTCTACAATTCTTGCACATCTAGTTTTATTATTGAAATTCAATAAGTTTCAAGTTATTTTTGAGCCGCCCTCTCTGAAAGCTATGGTCAGCAAAAATACGTGATTTGCATCTCTTCCTCTCTTTCTTACTCACAGTCTGGGGCGAAAGAAAAAGACTGGAGCGAGAAAACTGAACTGAAAATAATGCCCATGAGAAAACTCGGAATGAAAATTTCTTGTCCTTTTTCTACTCCACTTTTCTTTCAGAAATATATGAAACAAAGAGAGACCACCTGAGGCAATAGTGGAAAATTGTGGTTTCAGATATTCTTATAAGATAAAGGGCCGTAACTCGTGTGCTTGGATTACGGTTAGTTAAAGACAGCACTTTTCACGGTTTTTCAAGCTTAACACTAGTTTACGCTATCTGTTTGTTTACTTACCAGAAACTCCAGTAAATGGTCGCCAGTTCCGGTATGATGTTTTTGTGACGTTCAGCAGCCAGGACCTAAACTGGGTTAAGAAAGAACTCTTGCCGCTCTTGGACAAGCACAAGCTTAAGTACTGTATCCATGACAGAGATTTTCAGGCTGGAAAGCCTGTGGTGGACAACATGGCAGAGAGCGTGTACACGAGCCGAAAAGTTCTGGCTGTAATGTCGCACAACTACATGTCGAGCAAATTCTGTCGCGGAGAGCTAGAGATGGCGCTATATCGAAGCACAGAGATGGGCGACTCTTCGGTAATTGTGGTGCGTATCGACGGTGTTGACCGGAGCAAGCTTCCCAAGGCCCTTCGCAACAGGACCTTCCTAGATCATCATGACTTCACTGAGAGGAAGAACTGGGAAGAGAGGCTGATAAAGCATCTCAAACCGCCTTCACTGGACAAGAACTCGGAGAAAAAAAACTCGGAGAAAACTTATTCCTTGTTACGTAACGTTACTGAAGCGTGAAGCAATGAACAAGTTATATTGCCGTTTACAAGACTCCCGTTGTAACCATTGATTCTTTGGTAGACATTTCTTTGGAATCTTTTAGGGCACAGACACTTGAAAAGACAAGACACAGCGACGCAACATGAACAGGTCGCGTCAGCAAAACGCTCTAAGTCAGAAAATTTGAAATTGCTGTGCATAAATGGAAAGACAGTTATTTTTCTTTGAACGGCACTTCGCGCAAATTCAACTAGTCTGGCAGGGCGGAAATGGATCGAATCATTTTTTTTTGGTCGCACCGATCTGCTGGCTACTGAGTCCCAACCCTTTAAGCTAATGCTTCATACTTAATTAAACGTAACTATGGCAAGAACTTTGTTTTAATGTTGCCGGTTTTCTGATCGTCAGAGTAAGAGTAGTCCTGAAGAGGCCTCTGACGTTTTTACAATTCTAACTGAAGTTATCAACTGACTTTCTCTGATGAGGACTTCTGAGCATTTACCGTATATCTTTTTCCTGGCCGTTTTGATGTCTAATTTATCCTACATTGTTTAAATTATTGACACGTCATGACAGGACGGAAAATGCGTGCAATGTAAGTACCTCCCATTGTCCCATGGAAAGCCTTAGAAAAATTTTTTAAGGCTTTGCATGGGACGAGAGGTACTTACAATGCACGCATTTTCCATCCTGTCATGTTCAAGTGTAAAACATAAAACTGTGTGCAAATTAGGATATGCGGTATTAAGTAGTGCGAAAATCATAACTTTACCACACTCGTTTTTACAAGTTTTGCATCCCGTGATGCAATTTGTTTCCTTAGGAATATATATTTAACAATTATTCCACGAGCGCGCGTTGGATATGAGATGATAGATAGCCAACGAGGCGCGTAGCGCCGAGTTGGCCATAATCATCTCATATCCAACAAGCGCGAGTGGAATAATTGTTTTATTAAAANTTTTTTTCGTAACTACAATTCAATTCTTCGCTTGCGCGATGCGAGAAAACCTGTTTAACCGGTACTCTACAATAGACGAGTACAAATGCCGCGTGATATTTGTACTCGTCTAGGTGTAGTTGGATAATAAGTGCCTTTTATCTGTCAGCTTGTGTAATTACTATGGCTTTTTTGTTTCACGAAAGGGCGAAGTTTACGATACAAGTGAGGTTAGCTAGCGAATAGAGCTGGTAATCCGGAATTTGCCTAACTTCGCTCTGTGATTGATCCAGATAACTTGCCCCACTCCCTCCCGCAGAGTTAAGCTTGGCTGGGTTGCCGAGTCGTTAGAACCGCAGGATTACAAAGTGGACCAAAGTTACCATCTAGAACCTCGACACCAGTCAGTTAAAAAAATAAACAAACAAATACAAAAAATCCGCTCCTTTGCACTCTTAGAAGAAGAAGGGATTCTTGAATTTTTTTAGAATGAGGTAATGATTGCTTTGAAAGTTTGTTCTCCATCCACCAGATACGATTTTGATAGCTTCACTAACGAGGTAATATGCAAGATTCCAATCTTGAACCCCATAAAAATGGTTACTGAGGAGACCCAGTTTCCACGAGTTATATAATAAAAATTGTTACCAATGCTGGCCGCAAGTAGCCTTTGATAATTTGATGGTAGTTTTCTCCCGTTTTAAGAGCACCACTATTCATTAAGAATTTTTATATCCTATCTTGACGTCATAACATTGTATCTCAAGATGTAAAGTTTCTTTTGAATAAAAAAATCTCGGGCAATATGAATTGAGTATTATTATAGCATTGTAAATTTTCGTAGAATTAAACTGAATCTAGCAAACTATAGTCTGTTGTAGAATTGTGGAACTACTCACAATTTTTTTAATTGATTTGTTAATTTTGTTTGTTTACAGTTTGTTCCTTTTTTTTTTCCCAAATAACGGAGCAAGGTGTTCAGATGAGAACAAACAGTAAACTTTATATTTGCGCGTCCGTCAAGCCGCATATCGGTGTATAAAATAGGGAGTTTACTATGAAACAGTCACAGTGACAAGTCTGGGAAAACGTGATTTTCAAACACGAGATGGTCTCTTGAGACTGCGTATGGTACAGCCTGAACCAATATAAACACGGGCTTAACAAGATAAATTATAAGTTTATTACTCAGAGTCTCTACAGCAAGAGCAACCAGTGGTAAAGATTCTCATAAGTCGTTTTAAACCTATTGTCTGTCCCTGACGTACCGCCCCGGAGTTCGTAGAGCAATTTAAAAGTCCGCTCCATCGCCTAACATACAATTACAATGATTAAAGTAACTATCGGTTCGTTGACCCCGTTCAGCTTCTTCTCTCATCTTCACGAACATTGTTCTTCCCACCAAATCCTTGTTTTATTTACCTTGGTTCGAATATAAATATTATGTGACACTTTATCTTATTTACACGTCCATAGATGCTCAATAAACGTACATTTGCAAGAACTTCATTTCATCTGTGATGTCATTTGGCCAAGGGAAATCCAAAAGCAGTAAACAGCAAAGGGGAAGAAGAAACCTCATTACGTTTCACCAATAAAAAACAGTGCTGCATTTTTTGGGCTCTACAAAAGATTTCGACGCGTTTGTTTTACAATTAACTGTAACTTCAACACTTTGGTGCAGTGATTAAACGATACCAACTATCTATCTATACACAACAATACCAAACTGCAACATTAACCTCTAGAGTAAAATCCCTGATGCAGCTGAGATTACTGCTGCCCTAAGGAAATTTTATTTGCACTTGCGCATGTACAGTATTGACCTAATTACGTATGGTTTACTACTTTTAAAATTTCGCTAACCGTCTTTAGGGCGATATATTCCTGACTTTTATAGGGCAGATGATCTTTTTACCACGCCATAACCCTGCGCGTCACGGTGACTGCGCGTCAGCCGTTGGCTCCGGTTGGACATCTTGTATTGTCTTGCACGAAAGACTAATGTTCCTGCAGTTGTTGTGGATTATAGGGAGAGTGATGCACCGGCGGAAGTGGATTCTGGTGATGCATATGCATGGATGGTATAGAAGGCTCCACCGCAGGGGGGAAGGGGGGGTTGGATTGTGGTGGTAGTTGTCTTGGCGGTGGTTGGGTTACTTGCTGTAGTCTTTTTGTTAAGTCGTCTATTCTCAAATCTTTTATGTGCAGTAGGTGCTCGAGTCGTCGAATTTTGACATTCAAAATCTGGAATAAAGAGAAAATATTCATGCGATGATGGAAATACAAACTGTCCATACTTTACCTTACTCGAGTGTAAATACTTGAGGTGTCTTAGCTTAAATCAACCATAAACGCTCCGATAAGCCTCCTTTGCGGTATTCCAAGTTTCCGTAAACCCTCCCCCACTCCTCCCCGCCGGCTTGCCATTTGCAAATCGTGCTCATTATCTCCATCTTAGCCCTTTAACTTCAAAAGGGATCAGCATGTAAATCCTTCCTGTAATATCCATACATAATATCCATACATAACTCAGCAAACAGGTACTGAGAATACTCAGACTTGTCAAGTACTGAAGCTGTTATCTTGATCTAACTCCGAATTCTTGTAACTAATTTACAACGAAGTGCTGAGTGCAGCCAGAGGGGAGAATTAACAATCAGATCTTGAAAGTCAAAGAGTCAAACCATTCATTATATTTTTTCTGTTCGTTCTTCTCATGTCTCGTTCGCCTGTCCTAACAAACTTACCATTTTAATCGCTTACCCTGTCTAAAACAGAATATTTATTTTATTCCAAATGATATACTCACCTGAATGGTTTCTTGAGAGGCAAGTAAAGCTTGTTCTTTTTCTTCTAGCAGCAATCGAGGGTTGTGAGGATCCACAGTGCCATTCACATCTTGATACGAATGAGACCGAGGAACCTTTCTAAAAAAGCAAAGAGAAATACTGCTACATGCATAGACAAACAACAAGAGCATCTATTACGCGTAATCACAAGCACGAGATATCACTTTGTGAGCAACAAATTTTACAGCGAACACTTTACTTTTATAAGGTAACTGAATCGTTTTCTGATCCGAAAATGATTAAACTGCTGGCGTTTCTCTATCATGTTTTAAAACATAAACACCACTATCCCAGAAACTCAAACAGACACGACGAAATCCATCGCGATTTTCCTGCCCAAACCACGTTGGCTTCGCTCGCCTAGTGTTCACTACTAACAGCAAATTCTGAACTGGTACGTAGTCTAAGTACCTATGCGGTGCCACTGAATGTGACAACTATTGCGTTGCCTACCCTGCACCCTTTGCTGTCTCTTTCGTGCGGACGGAGACGATGTTAGCATGACCAAAAGCCCTTTGCACTTGCGTCGTATCAGGTTACACACACATTCTCACACTCACACACTCTCGTTGCATGAGGAAACCCGCCCTTTGCTGTATTAAAGAACACCCGTTTAAAAATGAAGCAGAACCCTTCCACAAAATACAATTGTAATTACAAACATCTATTAACGTCCACCGCTTCGTGTGGCCTAGATTCTGAGAAAATGTTGAGAGATAAAATTCCCAAGCAGTACAGCAGATATTGGACACCAGAGAAAATGTTTTTTCAAACAAAAACCTGCAAATGCCCCCTAAGTTCACAATGAGTTACAATCTGTAAAATGAAACTAACCCTTTTCCTTGATGAGCAGGAGCAAACTTTGGTTTGTCACTACCCGGTCCTCCCCTACCGTCTTTACTCTTCTGCCGAGCATTACCCCCCCTGGGACTGCCATCACTGCCTTTATCTTGGCCTTGATATGGGTTAGGACCAGGTTGGTATGACTGCGCTCCATACGAGCCACCAGCCTTATTTTAAAAAATCGTAAAATTAAATGATTAGTAATATTGATAAATAAATATAGAAATATGCATGCAACGACAAGCACTTAGCCTAAAGTTTTTATAGTTTTTTGTTTTCTTTTCTTTTGTCTGTTTTTAGTTTTTTTCCTTTTTTTTTTTTAGTTTGTTTGCTCGTAAGTTTACAGTATATTTCAAGTGAATAACAACAAGAAACTTGCCGAAAGCATGTGAAAAATTCGTGAATATTTCCGTGTTCTTTTATTCCAGAGGTGCGACTGAGTAGCTCTTCTTAAAACTCGTGCATTGAGTTTCATCAGGGTTTCCAAACAATCGAAAACAATTAAAGCAGTTGGCCTGCAGCCTCGTGCTTTGATCAGTTTTCTCGTGTTTGGAAACCTGATGAAACCCACGCACTCGAAATGGTACTTGAAATAGTACTCCTCATAACAGTCATCAAACCATTGATATGTTCCCCTTCTCCAATTTTCCATGCGATGAGAAGAAAATTGGAGAAAAAAAAACTCAACATCAAGAAGGGAATGAGGTGTTCATATAAACAAAACAAAGTTGAAGAAAAACATGACTCACATCATTTATTGGGTTCCTTTGAGTATAACTAGTATTGAATGCATAGCCATAGTTATTCTCTGGACCTGCAGGATTATCAAAACATTAATACAGAACTCAGCAACAGTATGACCAACAGTGTAGTTACTGGAGTCAATATACGTGTATGCATACACCTGTATGCATACACCTGTATGCATACACCTGTATGCATATACCTGTACGCATACACCTGTATGCATACACCTGTATGCATACACCTCCATGCATACACCTGTATGTATACACCTGTATGCATACACCTGCATGCATACACCTGCATGCATACACCTGTATGCATACACCTGTATGCATACACCTGCATGCATACACCTGCATGCATACACCTGTATGCATACACCTGTATGTATACACTTGTACATAATAGACAACTTCCAAGTCAAAGAAACTTTTGGATAATATTATGGTCCAGTAACAATTGAAATTTTAATACACTCCAATTGGTGCATTGCCTGAGTCAAGTGCAATAATCCAATTTGAGAAATTTTAAAATACATATTATACCTGCACACTATTGGTATTTCAAGGGCTTTCATCTATCAGCATTTGACTTAATTCTGCACAGTCAATTCCTTGATTGCAAAAAATTGTGCAACTAGATCTTAATTCCAATTATAAGTTTTCACATTACTTCAAAACAGCCTCAGACAAGCTTGCACTTACATGTAAGGGTTCATCATCGTCTGGCACATCATCACTTACAAACTTAGAAATTTTTCAATCCAGCTTTGAACATAAGTTGTTTCGTACCTAAGTATGCCTGCCCATCATTATACAGATATGGCTCATGATCAGAGATGGGCCCATTGGGTGAGAACTCATCATACACCTGCTGCTGTTTTCTCAAACTGTCTGCTTTTTTCTTTGCAATGTACTTCTCAATCTAAAAATACAGAAATGTTATGTATCAACTTCTAGCTGTGCTTTTAAAATACTAACAACACATGCACCATCAGAGGCTTCAACTTTTTCCATAGAAAGCAGTGGATGGAGAAGGGGCCAAAAGGCAACACTCAAGTATTGATTAGCCAACTCGCAAGCTAAACAGGCACTAGTAAATGGCCTTATGCAAGGCTCGCTGATGTATTTGTCAATATTCTACTCTAAAATTGTTGCTGGGGATTAAAGAGGAAGGGGTATTTAGTTACTGTTTACTGGATGAAGCAAAGGCGTGAACCTACAGGGACTTGAAATAACAAAGTTGGTGTGTATGTACATTTATTATATGGCTGTGTCTCACAAGGACTGGGAACTACCAAATTCACGAATTTGATTGGCTCT